TATATATATATATATATATATATATATATACATATATATATATACACACATACACATCTATAATTAATTGAAAATTGGACAACGTGAGACAAAAAAGCAACGGTCTTTACAGGAAATTCGTTCTGAGGCCACAGCTGGTAGAGTTTTGGAGTATTTACTAATCCTTCTCCCTAGGTGTCACGGTGTTCTCCCTAATTATCTGTTTTATTATTATTATTGACATTAGCAATAATCTAAGCATGAAGTGAATGTGTTAAGTAATAGTTGAATTTGAAAATGGATTCAAGTCAAATGATATGTAATCAGAATCTCCTTCAAATGACTAGTTAATGTCACCTTTATGACACGGTCAACTCTGATTATTTCTAATTCACTGTTTAGGCTATAGAGGCCTCAGGTAAGACAGGCGAGGCTCTGGAACAGCTGACAAAAGAGAAGAACAGTTTGATGCAGGAAAAGAATGAATCTGTATCTCTGCTGGAACAGCTGCAGAATTCTAAACAAGAGACAGAGGATCAGGTGAGTGAAAATAATGGCCAAGCTTCTAATGGCCAAGCTTCTAATGGCTAAGCTTCTAATGCTGTAACGTGAAGGGGATACAAAAAAATACCAAGTATGACATTTTTGTCCAGTAACTTGTTACTTTTTGTCATTTCTGTTTAGTTGGAAGTATTGAAAAAAGAGAATTCCAAGTATCAAGAAGATCTGAAAAAATCCAAAGAGCAACTGTCCACCGAAAGTGAAAAAATCAAGAGTCTGCATCAAGAAATGTGAGTCCGCTGTTAGCTTTAGCTACTCATTCCATCACAAGTGACAGGAATTCAGTTCACACAGACCAGATTGTGATTTACATGTATGGATGTTTGGATTATTCAAGGTGATCCTTACAGTGTTGTTTTTGTTTCAGCGAGGGGCTCAAAAACGCAGCTTCAGTGACATCACAGTTCCTTCTGGCACTGCAGGAAACAAATGACAAGCTGACACAGGAGCTTGATAGCAGTCACAAAGGACAGAGTGATCTCACAAAGGTAAATATGATTTTCATTTATAAGCGTCTACTTTTGTTTAAGTTCCAGTTTTAGATGTGAACTGCTCTCCACGATTGTATTTTGTTTATTTTACTTCCTTTTAGCTTCAAGATGATCACAACAAACTCAAAAAGCAGTTGGAGAAATTAAAGCAAAGGTAAATGTGACAAACTTCCCCTTCATGAATCATACTATCAAAGGTGGGCACACTCATAAGTTAAGGGATTTTTAGATTGGAAGGGATTTATTTGTATGTGTCATTAAAAGTATGTCACTGCACCTCCTCTTGTGACACAGCTATGTGTCACATTTTTATTTTTTGTTTTTTTTAGAGCTGACTAATAACAAACCTGATTTTGCTCTGATGGTCCTTCCTAACTATTCTTAAAATGCAATTTTACTTTTTTTTTTTGGTACCATGTGTCATTGACAGAAACTACCATTCATAGATAAATAGATAGATAGATAGATAGATAGATAGGTATTAATATAATATAAATTAATAACAGATGTGCAACAAACAGTGGTGGCCATAGAGCTGTGTAAAACGTTTGTATCAAAGAGTAGACCTTCATTATATACATTTTTATACTTCATATGATTTAAATGACAAACTCTGATAGGAAAAAAAGAATAACCCTATATATTCTTCCACCTACCATTACTGTGTCTGGTAATCCAAAATATGTCTATGTTTTGGATAGTGAGTGCACCTTGAAGGAGCACTTGGATCAGGAGAAGGCCCTCCAGAAATCCTGTAATAAAAAGAGTGCCTTAATCTCAGAAAAGGAGCAGCAAGTGGAGAAACTGAGGAGTGAGGTGAGAGTTCCATCCCTTGTGCTAATTTCCCGCTGTCAGTTCATGCAATAGAATGAATATTCACAAAATGTTTCTATAATTTAGTCAGAGTTCTTCATCTGTGTAGCTGTACATTTTGCTGAGTCTACGACACAAGATGCTCAGTTGAGGTTGAGGTTGTGGTATGGATCTGTTGAAGATTTAGACGCTTTCACACAAAGAAATCATTTTAGAAGAGCTACTTGTTTGGTACAGACACTTTCTGAACAAAGTAATAATAATTAGTTCTGGGGCATACAATAGTAGACATTCTTCTTACCATCATTGTTGAACCTATTTGAATATCACTGCCAGTGTAACTGATTCAAAAAGCACAGTAACAGTACAACCTTTGACCCTCTTGTTGACTAGTTTTATACTTTAGGTGCCCCGGGCACCACGTTGGTGACCCCTGTCCCACTAGGTTACTGTTGTTATGTGTACATGTCTTGTGTCTGTTTCTCCCAAAACCTATTGTAAGAAGTCAAAATTATGTGCAGGTGGGTGTACATAGGCTTTTTACTAATTTCCTACATTGCAACATGCAGTTCCTTCTAGGTCAAACGTGTGTTTCCTGTTCTGTCTTGAGATTACTCATCCAAGCCATTTGACACTTCAACTTGCTCCTCTATTCTACTGATCGGTTGTAAACATTCTTTCTGGACATCTTAATTTTAAATTACTAGATTTAAAATTACTAGATAAAATTACTGAAAATAAACACATTTCACATCAACTGAGCAAGAGCATTTTTTACCAATTTCAAAACAATCATTGTCCGCACCTCTCATTTATTCTTGTTAATTATACTGTAAAGAGATTCATTTATTTAGGAGAAATACTAAAGGCCTAGAATGACCTTTGAGCATTTGGGTAGTAATGTGTTAGAAATCACAAATGGCTAAAGATTGAATATCATTGTTACTGAAGGAAGGAACAACTATTTCGCTGTCATGTTCTGTGTTAATATTGGATGGATAAGTTATAATTCTCAATAATACTGGAACTGATGCAAGGCCAATGAAGAAGAGCTTGTGGCTCAGGACCCACAGGTTGCCCACCCCACTGCCATTGAGTATAGGACTTGAATATTGCTCAATGAAGAAAAAGGTTGAAGAAGGTTGTTTTTTTTTTTTTTTTTTTTTTGTTTTAGGATCATTTAATCATGTGTTGTTTTCCTTCACAGCTGGAGGTTCTACGTGGAGAAAGTTCCTCAGCTAAGACACTGCAGGGGAAAGTTAAGGCCTTGGAGCGAGACAATGCAGATCTCCAGGACCAGGTTCAGAGACTGGAGAAGGATTTGGCTGCAAGACCTGACACCATCAACTTGACAGGTAAATTAAACAGAACTGGCTCTCACCAATATCCAGAGCAAATATTCTGATTTTCTGCTTTTTACATCATCCTGTTTTTTGTGGGGTTTATTTTTCAGGTGATGCAGTCATAGACCAACTGATAGAAGACAAGGAGACGGCAGAAAGTCAGGTCTGTGTCCTGTTGCTCTAATGCTCACAGTCATTATTAGCCTGATGAACCTGTGTGGTTTTCTTTTTTGTCAATTCCATTAATTCATGGTGAAGAGGGTTTCCAGCTGTGCCCATAGGTCTTTTTCCGCTGACATAATAATCTGGAATAATTTGCATTTTAGTCACTGTTGGGGTAGCGCTTTGGAAAACGTCTTAGCCAGAGCTCTTTGTCAAATGACTGTGCTGTTTACTCAGAAGTGCATGAACAAATACAACCTCTGATGAAACAGCACACTGAATTTTACAGCTGTCTGTTACAGTATAATGTTTTACAGAGATGAACCATTTTACAACATCCTAATGAGCTTCTGCTGAAATGAGGGATGTTTATTAAAAAAAACAAAACAAAAACAAAAAAAGTTAATGGAGCGTCATCCAATTCACAACCAGTGGAGAGGATTTATGTGTCATCTCCACTGATGTTGAGAAAATGTTATACTGTATTATATGTCAATGAGGACTTGAGTGTTTTTTAGTGAGTGGCTCCTAATTTGAATCTCTTTTTTTTCCCCTTCTTCTCCCTCTTCTTCTCTTAAATCGCAACTCCTCCTCTCTGCCCTGTCTCTGATGATGGCAATGCTTCACCACCATCAGGCAGCGGTTTGTTGATGTTTTTCATCAGCTTCACTTGTGCATGTTTGTCTGTCACCAGTCATCATGGCTTTCGAGTTTTGTCTAGTCTGCTAGATGACAACACACACCCCGATGGCCTAAAGAGAAATTGTGCTGCTCTTTTTAAACAATGTTTTATTAATTTTAATGAAATTGCTCAGATCTCTGAGTGACAAAGGTGCAGTTGGCAGGATTACTAGAACTATAGATACAAACTATACCTTGCATGAATTTCTTATGTATTGAGATTGAATTAAATATTCACAAAGGTGTTTACCAGGGATCACCACTGAAGAATTACAGTATCAATATTACAACCTTTTATGTTATCATGGGATACAGTTTCATCTGCTCAACATTTTTCGTCATTCAGCCTATAGTTTGCTCCCTGCATCATATCACCGTGGTCACCATAGATAGCGCAGCTCTCTCTTCTCCAACGCTACAGAGCATTGATAGAGACAAGCTGTGCTCAAACATCAGCAGCCAACACTCAGAGGTTCTCAGACATTTTGAAACAACACAAACTAGAACCTAAAGAGAACAAACAAATTGTTGTTGCGTCCTCTGTTTAAATATCCTTGGTGAAACCTGGTCAGTAGGTTACATGGACAAACTGTAGAATCTTAAACACTAAAATTCTAGTTCTCAAGTGACCTCAAATTACCCAGTTAGATTGTCTAAGAGAACATCCTGCTCCGCTTCTAACAGCTAGAAAGCCATTCATCTTTAGTCCAGATCATTGAGGCTAAAATATGCTTTGTTTTCTCAAATATGTCTCTATGTCAGGTTGAAATGTTATTCTTTATCATCATGTCAAAACCTGAGAATTCTACCTGTTACACCTTTGCAGATTAGTTACTCTCACTTTAAATACTTTTAAATACCCAGCATCAATGTTTCTTTGGTTAATTACATTAAAAAGCCTGTTGATTTAAGTAACACAAACTCAAAACGATTTAGTATAGACAGGGAAGCTATATTATGTTGATAATATTATTTATTATCAAAGTACATAAAAGAATTAGCAGCAGCAGTGATGTTGACAATGGTTTGTTTCCTTTGCAGATTGAGTTTCTGAATTCAGTCATCGTTGACCTTCAGAGGAAGAACGAAGAGCTCAAGGGGAAACTGGAGACAATGGCTGCTGCCGCTCTGAATGGGAATAATCCCAGTGAGATGGATAACTATGACGGGTAAGAACTGGTCATTACAGACTAATAAACCAGATATTTTGTCTTATCTTATTAATGATTAAATAATATGGTAGCACAGGGTCAACTTCTCTTTTTATCCAACTCAATGTCTGAGCTCAATAAAATATGCAAAATGCAATTTATTGCATTATTAACATTAGTAATAATCATTGTACCAGTAATGAAATTAAAGGTACAGCATCAGGACTTTAACAAGATAGTTCAGTTTCTAATCTGACCTATCACTACCGTAGTATTTATATTTTCAGTAATCTTTTAAAAATCTTATCATCATTAACAAAATGATTTTCTATGTAACACTTTTATTGCATTTTGACTGTTCAGATGCATAAAGTTCTTCACCTCTTGTCCCCGCAGCCAAGGGGAGGAGCCTGTGAAGAAGAAGCCTCCACCCAGGCTGTTCTGTGACATCTGCGACTGCTTTGACCGCCACGACACAGAGGATTGTCCTACACAAGAGCAGATGCCTGACTCACCTCCTCACACAACCTACCACGGCAATAAGGACGAAGAACGGCCCTACTGTGACATCTGCGAGGTTTTTGGCCACTGGACCGATACCTGCAACGATGACCAGACCTTTTAAAGCCTTTTTAAATCCTAGTTCGCACAATCACTCTATTTGCACATGATGTTTGACCCCAGGGTTGATACCATGGGGTTAAAGGTGTGTGTGTGCACGCGTGCGTGCATTTTTTGTGCTTGTTTTTGCCAAGTGTCTTTATTGTCCACGTCAACCCTAAAAGCATTCATAACACACAGCAGTAGAAGGTCAGTGTTTGTGGGGGTGGATGAGCCTGAGCTCACACAGTTGAATTGTTTTTTTTTTAGTTTGTCTGAGTGGAATTCTGTGGGCGGAGAATCAATAGTTTACACATCATTTAATTTATCAAAATACTATTGTTGTTTGCACAGCTTGTCGGGGACTACAGATATAATATAGTATCATTAAAAGGTCTTGAAACTGTAAATGACTTAAAGACAGATATCACTCTGTGCAAATGTTGCTGAGCTATAGTTTTATTTTTTTATGCCTGGAATCATAATGTACTCTTAAAAAGGTTTGATATCCTTGATGTGCATAATTACGTGTGTGGGGGAGGACTTCTTGATGCTCACTGTTACATTGTTAAGTGCAGCAGTTTAAATCTTAACTTTTGTTTTTTGTCAGTTTTGATTAAGCTACTGCCAGAGAATTGAGAAGTGGTTAATGCCTAAAACACTTCCAGCTGCCTGTAAAAAACCAAACATGGGTTCCAGTGAAATGGCCTTTTTTTAAACATTTCTCAGCATTGGCTAAAAAATCCTCCTGTGTGGACAAATGAAATGTTTTCTTTAAACCAAGGTTTTAAATATCTTTCAAAATAAATGAGTTATGTATAAAATAAAATTCTGATAAACATTTAATAGTCGGGCTGTGTCGTTTCTGTGTGCCATAGATGGTTTCTACTAGAAACACGGATACACGAAGTGCATCTTAAACCTACATACAGCGAAGTTCAGTAGTTGTTGGTGGTCCTTGACATCTAGGGACCACCAACAATATCTAAATAACATTGGATCATGGCTGCTGCTGCACCCTCAGTTCCGTTGATTTGAATGTATCCACCTTTAAAACACGCACATTTAGAACATAGAAAAAACTCAAGTGCTTCAATGCTATTTACTGTTTGATGTTCAGAGGAGTGAATGGGAGGAAAGTGCACGGGTTACTGTATTGATGATACCACTCTATAGTTTAGATATATAATTTAGATAGTAGATGTCCACTATAGTTTAAGAAGTAATCTGTCGATGCTGAAGGAGTTGTTGAGCTTGGAAGGAAGACTCCCACTTTCCCAGTCCACCCTAAACTCCAATGTAGCCAGCTGCTCCAGGATGGAGTCTTTGTCGTGTGCATGGACGTCAACCTCTTGGTACTTCTTGGAGCCTTTTCCTAGAGAGCAACATCAGAAGTGTTTCTTCTAGCTTTTTAAAATGTATTCTCTATTTCTATTTACATTGCCATGAAATCTAATGGAAGGGTCATTAACCTTTAGACGATGCCATCATACTTTGTCTCGCAATGTCACCTCTTCTCCTTTTTAAATCCTTATTGCCTTTCCTCTTGTTCTCTTTGGGTTTCTTTTCTACTTCCTACAGATAAAAAAACTAATAAAATTAATCTCTGTGCTAATGTGATCTTATTTAAACTGATGGAGATATGATTCTTTTGTAAAAGGGGATTGAAATGTACTTATACAAAGTACTTTAATAGAAGATGCTGGATCCAGAAATGATCCTGGAACATGGAAGCTCACTCAATAACTAATACAAAAATTACTTTAAAAAAAGTTAACTACACCTGCGTAAAAGATGTTGCATTATGCCAACATTTTGTATAACTGTGTATAAACAGAGAGCATCAAGTTATTGCTCTCCAATCTCATTATATAAAAAAAATCTAATATATTAAGCTTTAAAGATTTAAGTAAGCGGTACATACTAACATAACATTCCCCAAAAAGAAAGAAAGGAAAAAAGA